ATGTGTATAAGAGACAGGAAACAGACCATCAGGGCTTCTTCCAGTCAGCCCTGCCCGTCATTGTCATGCAGGTGGGTGGTAGCTGGGGCACGGCCATGCTGAGAGCCCCCAGAAACGGGGCTGTGGCTTGCAGCCTCTCACTGACTCACCTCCACTCCTTTCTCCCTCTCCCACAGTCCACGAGGTTTTTTCCCATACCCTGCAGCTGCTCCGTGAGCAGCACCTCCTGGAGGCCCACGCAGAGCTCATGATGATGGAGCACCTCCGCGACGACATCCTCTCCCAGCTGCACCTCCGTGGGCTCTCCAGTGCCCAAGCAACTGTGCTGTCCTACTTCGGTGGCCTGCAGGAGCTCAATGAGAGCCTGGCCAAGCAGCTGTGGGACATCGTGGGCAGCAGCCTGCGGCTGGTGCGTGAGGACCCAGTTCTCTTCGTCACTGCTGTAAGAATCATCGAGCGGGAAGAGAAAATAGACGATACGCTGCTCCTGGAGGCCACCTTCCTGCCCCCTGGCCGCCCAAAGGGCTGGAGGCAGAAGTTTTACCACGTTCTCCAGGACACCATCACAGGAGCCCACTTTCATGCTGACTGCATGGACCCTGAGGGGCCAGGGCTGGCCAGGCACCTGGCAGCACTGCAGAAGGACATCGTGTCTGAGCTGCGTGTGGTGAAGGACCTGATGGTCCAGTGTGTCCCAGCTCACTACAACATCCTCAGCGTCTGCACTGCCACCTACCACCAGGCCCTCACCAGCCACCTCCAGGACATCCTCCGAGAGGATCTGGACAAACAGGCACTTTTCCTTCTCCTCGAGTGGACGCTTCGTGTGTACCACAGGTCAGCACCCACCTACCACCAACCAGGCAGGGGAGATTGTGGAGAACAGGATTGTCCACCAGCATACGAGTGGGTTGGGAGAGCGGCTCCAGCTGCCTGGGGATGACCACAGGGGGGGGCAGAAGGAGAGGTAGGAACTGCTAGAAAACACAGATCTTCCCAGCCCTGTCCCACCTCTGCCCTCCAGCTCAGAGATGATGGGTCACCCTGACCTTCACCCAGAAGTGGATGTTTCTGCTCTGGGTCCCTTGATGTCCCCCGAGCTCGTGGATCAGACAGAGAGGAAATACGTGGTGAAAGTCAAGGTGAGCAAGCAGGACGGTCAAAGGGGTACAGGGACCCAGTGACCACCACTGAGCCAGCATCTGCTCTGACAGCAAGAGGAGACCATGAGCCTGTGGGACGAGGCCCAGGACTCACTGCTGTGTCATGTGCTGGGTCTCAAGGGAGTTGGTATCCAACTTCTTGGGCCGACTGTGGTGGGTGTCCATCCCGCAGGCTAGTGTACTCGAGTGGATGCAGAGGACCTTGGAGGTGGAGTTCAAGGAGTGGTTCAGGGAAGAGGAACCTGAAACAGACCATCAGGGCTTCTTCCAGTCAGCCCTGCCCGTCATTGTCATGCAGGTGGGTGGTAGCTGGGGCACGGCCATGCTGAGAGCCCCCAGAAACGGGGCTGTGGCTTGCAGCCTCTCACTGACTCACCTCCACTCCTTTCTCCCTCTGCAGATGCTGAATGAGAATATCCAGGTAGCCTCCTTGATCACAGACTCTCTGCAGCAGAAAATCTACAACATGGCCTTGGAAGAGCTCGAAGCATTTCTGGGCCGGTCAGTGGAGCCCCTCACACCCCTGCCCATCCTCACTGACCCTGGGTCCCATGGCCAACCACCACAGGCTGATGGTGGAGATCTGCTGTGGCAAACCCTGCCACCTCTCGGAAGGCTCAGCAGCCCGTCCACCCATAGGGCTACTGTTTCAGCCTTGGGGCCACCAGCTCCCAGGGCTTGCTGCCCTAGGTGCCTCTCCCATAGCACTGAGCCCTGCTTTCCCGAGGGGTCCACAGTGAGTCCCACTGTCCCACCCTGCCCAGCAACCTGTCACTCTCCAACCCAATGGCAGGACCTGGAAAGGGCCAAGTGAGCTCACAGAATTATTCAGGCGTGTCCAGAGAAGGGCAACGGAGCTGGTGCAGGGTCTGGAGCACAGGTCTGATGGGGAGTGGCTGAGGGAACCGGGGGGGGTTAGTTTGGAGAAGAGGAGGCTGACAGGAGACCTCCTGGCCCTCTACAGCTCCCTGACAGGAGGGTGCAGAGAGGGGGGATGAGTCTCTTGAGCCAAGGAACCAGCGCCAGGCCCCGAGGGAATGGCCTCAAGCTGCCCAGGGCAGGGTCAGGCTGGCTCTGAGGAAGGATTTCTGTGCAGAAGGGGTTGTTGGGCGTTGGAATGGGCTGCCCAGGGCAGGGGGGGAGTCCCCATCCCTGGAGGGGTTGAAGAGTCGGGCTGAGCCAGCGCTGAGGGATCTGGTGGAGTTGGGAATGGTCAGGGTGAGGTTCATGGTTGGACTGGACGAGCTTCAAGGGCTTTTCCAACCAAGATGATTCTGTGATTCTATGAGCTGGGAGAGTTGCAGGAGGTCCATGTGTCCCCTGGAGCAGCTCCAAGTCCTTGTGGTGAGGTGTCTGGAGCTCTACCCACCCATGGTGACTGACTCGCTGTGTTGCAGTCTGCGGGAAGCCCTCATGCGGTGCGGGAAGGAGCACCAGAAGGACCGTACCATACCCAAGTACTATGTCTCTTACCTGCTGGCCATGCTCAACAACAACCTGGCTCTCAGGTAATGTGCACCAGCACCTTGCAGCTCTTGTAGCAACCCCACCACCCACAAGGAAGCCATGTCCTCCCCATCCCCCTGCAGCACCGGTGTCTCCACCATGATTCCTAGGCTACCTGTCCCCTCTCTTCTTCTGTCTCTCCTAGCTCCTCCATCTCCTCCCTGCACCCCAACATGGCCCACAGAGAAGTCCCCGCATCCCTCCGGGCTGCTCTAGACAGGATGCAGAAGAAAGCCTGCCAGCTGCTGCTGGAGGAGCTGCTCCTGGACCTGCAGGTACATTTGTCCACAGCCCCTGAGACTGGCAGAGCTGCAACAAACCCAGCACCGGCAAGAACAGCCCTACTGCTACACCCCCAGGCACTGGTTTAGTCCCTCCTAGGACCCGTGCCATGCACCCCATGGCCTGCTATCATCATGCAGCCACCTCAGCCAGCCTGGCTCCCAGACCTTGATAAACCGTCTGTGGCTCACCTGATGTCTGTCACCAGCCAGCACTGCCCTGTATTGCTGGGGCAGATGGCTTGTGGCCCCAAACCATTTACCAACTAAGCCCAGGAGCCACATCCCCCCCTCGCCCCAGCTGCCTCACGCTCCTTTTTATGGCTGTTTCATGGCAGAAAACCAACAGGAGAGAGTCAATATCTGTGTGGAGGATGCAAGCCCATGTGTGACTGCCCGAGTCATTTCCTGCCAGTGTAGTCAAATTTAGCTTTCCTGGAGTCTGGTCCAAAAATCTGGAATAATTAACAGCATTGCTATTTAGGGCTTGAATGCCATAAAAACAAAGAAGCAGCTAAAGGGTGAAATGCTCACAGGCAGCTTGGAGACTGCCATGGCCCCAGCAGAGACACAGAAGGAATGTGTGCCTGCAGGCAGGAAGACAGGCAAGGACAGCAGAGGAGGAGGAGGTCAAAGCCCTCAGCCAAAACCATGTTATGTCTACGCAAGGGAAGTGGAGTGAAAATTAAAAATAAAATCACAGCAGGACAGGCCAAAAGCAAGTGTGCAAGGAGCAGCTTGCTGCCCAGACCTCAGGTGCTGCCCACAACGGGGCATCGCAACCCAGATAAAGTCCCGAAACGTGGCGCTCTGGGTGTTAGGGAGGGGCAACCCCAGTCAGTGTATTTCCGTAAGTTCCTAATTTAGACCACTCTTCTATATTTATGTTGACTTTTGGCTGGCAGCGGGTCCTCGGGGGTGTTGCAAGGTAGAGTGGCTGTGCTGGCAGGCAGCAGGCAGGCAGGGGCTGCGGGATGTTGTGCCACCCTGCAGCTGGGCTGGGCACCCTACGCTGCTCCTCTGCTCCTTTCAGCCCCTCTGCCTGCAGCTGCCTTCCCGCAAGTGGCTCTCGGGGACCCAGCTTGTCAGCAGCATGTGTGAAGTGATTGACAAGTATGCAAAGGACTTCTCCCGCGTCAGGAAACCTGTCTTCACGGTACAGTTGCTGCGGGGTGTCCTTCAAATGTCTGCTTTGTCTGCAGGGCAGGGAGGTTGGGCAGCTGGGTGTCGTACTGGGATGCAGGGTGCAGTTGCTGCTGGGTTTGCTGGAGAGCCTGTATCCTCCAGAGGATGACATCATGCAGGGTTTCCCTCAAATTCAGCTACTTTCTCTATCCCTCTGACCAGGGGGCTTCCCAGCAGGTTGTCCCCACAGCTTGGTGTTGTATCCAGCCCCTTTCCCTTCTGCCTTTCCCTGGGCAATGGGGTCCAACACCCAGGCGATGCCCAGTGCTAACAGCTCTCCCTGCCCAGCTCCTGCTGACGGAGAGTGAGTTCCTGGTGGCGAGCCAGTATCTACGGGCACTCATGCAGAAGAAGATGGTGTGCAAGAGCAAGGAGGAGCGGGGCCAGCTCTGCGACCGCCTACTGCAGGATGCCACGCAGCTCCGGGAGCTCTTCTGTGGCCTGGTGAGAGGCGCCCAGGTGCAGTGGGGAGCCAGGGCTGGGCCACAGGAGGGGAGTATCACACAGCGAGGAGGGTGCGAGGAGCTCATCGCTCACCTCCATCACCCTCCTGCTCCCCTCCAGCCCACAGCAGACGTGGTGGGTTTATCAGCCCACAAACAAGACAGGGCTGTTACACTTGGGCAGTTGTGAGGCCAAGACAGCAGGAACTGGCTGGATTAGGGACTCGTGGGACTGCTCACCCTGTGCAGCGCAGGTCAGCAAGGCTGCACAGCCTTATCTTGCCCCGGAGGACACGCTAGTGGGGAGACACCACCACAAGGTCTCCACGTGGGCACTGAGGACTGGGCTGCAGCTCACCAGCCACCACGGTGGCCTCCTCCCGGTCTCAAACGTGGCCACTCTGCTTCCCAGGGCCTGGACCGGAGCCAGCAGAGCCTGGAGGCCGTTTTTGCCCTGCGGGAGCTGATCTGCCTCAAAGACCCGACACTACTCAGCCTGGAGGTGCTGGGCTTCGTCACCAAGTACCCTGATGTTAGGTAAGAAGCCCAGCTTGGCTCTCCCATGACATGATGTAGGTGTGAGTCTGCCCAGGGGAGCCAGGCTGGAGCTGGACCCCGTAAGGTTATGCTGCAGAGCAGGCAGAAACCTGGGCTTTTTCCTCCTCCTCCCTGAGGTTTCCTTTCCCCTGCTCCAGGTTTGAGGGGTTCTCACAAAGTCCCAAGGGCAAAAATGTAAAGGAGAAAGCAGTTCTGCTGTGGCATTCACCCATCTGTGTTTGGTGACCAAACAAAGTGTGAGAAATCACAAACCACCAAATAGGAAATGTCAGAATCAGCGGAAACCCATGAAATATCAAAACCAAATTCACAAAGTCTGTCAGGTTTTTTTTCCAACAAATTTTAAAGTTTGTTTGAGGCAAAGTAGTAGCTCTCCCCTGGCCTGAGGTCAGCTTCTCCATATCGTGGGGGGTTTGCAGGCAGGACATGAGCACTGTGGATGTTGCCATGGGCCAGCAGCACCCAGACTCACCTCTCGCTCTCTGCCCAGTGATGAGCACATCTCCACCCTGCTGGATCTCCGGGGCGACGTCTCCAAGGAGGTGCGGCACATGGTGCTGGACATGATGACACAGCACCCCCAGGTCCTGCCTGAGAGCTACCGGCCCATCTTCAGCACCATCCTGGTCCCCCCGTCAGAGCTGCCCCTCTGCCTTCGCAAGGGCAAGTGTGCCTGACGCAGCGCCCCACGGCCCCACGGGCGTACAGACCACGCGGGACATCTCCAAGGCTGTGCGTGGGGAGAATGGAGGTGGCATGTGGCATCCCCTGCACGCGGCACCTTGCCCTGTGTTGGGGGCACTCTGGATACGTGCCATCCTCCTCTGGGCTTGCCTCACTGAGCCAACTGTCCCTTATGAGCATCAGTCCTGGAAGACCCAGGTCAGGAGAAAATCAACCCGTAGCTATTTAGCTGCCCCTGCTGAGGCAGTAATTGAGGGCTGCTCCTCTCTGGCCTATTAATAGCCTGAAGAAGAAAGAGGAGCTGCAGGTCAGAGGACAGGAGTCTGCAGCTGGGGTGAGTCAGTCCCATGTCTCCGTGGGGCTGCAGAGATATTTGGGTTTCCCCGAGTCTCCAGACAGCCCGCTGAGCCAGCGTGTCCCAGCCATGGAGTCTGTTACCACTCCAGCTCCAAGGCAGATCGGAGCCTTGCTAGAACCAGCCTTGCAGGAGGATTTTAGCCATGGGAACACTTCCTCTGTTTTGGCTCAGCCCAGAGGTCTGATACTGCTTCTCCACCAGCCGCGGCGCTGCACAGAGCACGGAGAGCGGGTCAGGCAGCTCACCGTGTCTCACGGCTGCAGAGGAGAATGGCACCAGGGGGCCTCGTAACCCTGGGTGGCGCCGTCAGCCCTGTCCTGGCTGGGGGGAAGAGGCAGCTCCAACTTCCTGCTGACCTGCCCGACTCCTGGCCAAACTCTTTGTCAGCATCCAAGACAGGACTGGAGGCCAAACCTCTCAGAGCACATGGTTGTGTCTGACGTGTGACATCCTCCTGTCCCAGGGTTCCTCCACGATGGTCAGCACCGCTCTGGAGGCTCTTCCTCCTCCTTTGCTGCTGTCCAGCACTTGGTCATCTCCTCCCCAGGTGCCACGTGAAGACCAGGAGCAAAGCCTGTCTCTGCCTGCATCCTTACAGCCAGCCCCTGCCGCACTCCACACTCTGCCATGCTTCCTGCCTCGTGGCGGGCTGGATCCTGCTGTCCCTGCCCACTGCCAGAAATAAAGGCTCTGCCATCACTCACCAGCATCCAGGCTCTGCTCCCCAGTGAGTCAGGGAATGGATTGGGGCACATGGGTGACACAGAGAGGGGGGGATTGATCCTCATGCACAGCATCACCCCAGGGATGGCTCCCTACATGCACTGCCACACCATGATCATCACCTGGGGACATGGGGGATGATGGAGACACTACGTACACCCCAGGATGGAGATGACTGTACTATTCCTGCAGCTGCAGCAGTGTGGGACTCAACCTCAGCTCAGGGAGGTGCCCACTGTCCTGCCTGGGGCTCACACTGTGCTTGCCCAGCTTGCCATGCTGGCCACAGCTCCCGGCCTGCCTGGGAAGGCGTCTGCCCTCCCCACCTGCCTCACTGGCTCTGGGACTGGCTCACTTGTGCCGGGGCTGGGGTTCAAGGGGTGGCCCTGAGCCCTGGGAACGGCCAGCTGGGCCCTCTGCTGTCCCAGGTGGGGCTGTCACGGCCTCATGGGAAAACATCTCTGGTGCCAACAGATCTGAAACAGGCCTGGGGACGGGGTGACTGCCGACACCCCAGGCACTGGCACCCATCCCAGCACATCCAGCCCCACTGCTACCCCAGCTGTGTGCCCACAAGCAGACCCCGTGCACCCCATCACAGCCCTGCAGTGCTCTCCTCTCCAGCTCCACAGGCTGTAGTAAGAACTGACAGAACTCATTACAGCGATAGCCCAGGCACCCCAGGGTGCCTTTCAGCAGCATGTTCCCATGTCCCCACTTGTGTGGGACCAGGTAGGTGCCAGGTTTGGCCCGGTGCTGCTGCCTGCAGCTGGCAGAAAGCAGAAGGGGGACCTGCCCTGCCTGGCTACCAGCCACATGGCTCCCAGCTGCTATAAAGCTCGTGGCCCTGGGGACACGGTCCTGTCCTGCCAGGATGGCGTTTCTGTGGGCAGTTGCCTGTCTGGCCCTTGCCACCGCTGTCTCAGGTAAGCGCTGCCTGCAGGCATGGGGACGTCCTCGGGGTGCAGCAGGACCGAGGCACCCTGGGGATGGTGACACTGAGCCACCCGCACTGGCTCAGGCAGCCCCTTAGTGTGAGCCTGGAGCTTTTGGGGTCACCCTTGTGCCCCTTTGCCTCTCCCGCAGGCTGCGGGGTGCCTGCCATCAGCCCCTCGGTGTACTACAGCGAGAGGATCGTCAATGGGCAGAACGCGGTGCCCGGCTCATGGCCTTGGCAGGTCTCCCTGCAGGTACGGCACCGTCCCGCTCCCCAGCACCATCCTGCTCCCCAGCACCATCCCGCTTTCCAGCAGCACTGGTGCCCTCAGCACTGCAGCGGCACGGCACGGCAAGAGGGTGCTGTGGCTGGGAGGTGGGCAGGCACTAAGGGGAGCCACAACACCCTCTGCCTGTCCTTTTGGGGGGGTGGGGGGGGTGGGGTGTCTCTCAGCCTGCCCAGCCCCAGCTCTTCCTCCCTTTTTCCTCCCCAGACCCGCTCAGGATCCCACTTCTGCGGTGGCTCCTTGATCAACGAGAACTGGGTCGTCACGGCTGCCCACTGCAATTTCAAGTGAGGAGTGATGCCTGGCCAGCCCATGGCAGTGCCACCCAGCCAGGGCAGGCGCTCGGGGCACGCTGGGCACCACCAAGCAGCATTTGAGACAGCCCCAAAAACCAGCACCTGAGGAAGCGGGCAGCCCGGGGCTCCCTGCCCGGCTATCCTCACAGTGGCTTCCCTTGGGCACAGAGCCCATCGTGCCCGGGCAGCCCCTGGTGCTGCTCCCAGCCCCGGGTGCTGGTTGCCGTGCACCCCCCTGACTCTCTTTCCCTCTCGCAGCCCGTACTCCCACGTCGTCGTCCTCGGGGAATATAATCTCAACTACAACACAGAGACCACTCAAGTGAAGACCGTGTCCAGGGTGAGCTGGGCTGATGTGGCTGCAGTCCGGGGACAGAACTGCAGCTCTGCACTGCAGCTGCTCCTGCAGGGCAGCAATGAAGCACTATGGTGTCTCTCGGCAGGCTATCACGAACCCCAACTGGAACCCCAACACCTTCAACAGTGACATCACCCTGCTGAGGCTCTCCTCACCTGCACAGCTGGGACCCAGCGTGTCCCCTGTCTGCCTGCCCCCCGCCAACCTGGTGCTGCCCAACAACCTCCAGTGTGTCACCACGGGCTGGGGACGCACCAACCCCAACTGTACGTACGCCACAGCCTCGTGCAGGGCTGCTTGTGGCTGCCATCCCTCCTGGGGGGGTCCACAGGGGCTGGGCATGCCCCTGGGGGTAACACCTTGTGTGCATGGGACAGGGCAGGGGGGAGTCAGGTGGTTGAGTAGCCCTGTCTGGGCACATACAAGTGTGCACAGGTGTGTGCTGATGCAAGCACAGGCATGGGTGTGAGCTCAGGAGGTGGATGCGTGCAGCCCCAGGGATGAGTGTGCATGGGCACAAGCTTGCACAAGACGATCCCACCTGGGAAGACGGGGCACACTGGCATGGAGGGGCCAGGTGCTTTGCAGGGCAGCACCCGTGTGTTTGGGAGCTTGCCCAGGGTGCCTGTGTGCTCCCAAAGGCCCCAGGAGACCCGCCAGCACCAGGGTGATTTAATGGTGCTTCGTTCCCCTAGCTCAAGCCTTGGCAACACGCCTGCAGCAGGTAACGCTGCCCTTGATCTCCTCGAGCCAGTGCATGCAGTACTGGGGCAACCGCATCACCAACTCCATGCTCTGCGCTGGCGGGGTCGGCGCCTCCTCCTGCCAGGTAAGGAGCTGAGCTCCCGCTGCACCGCGGGGAGGGAGGCGGAGGAGGAGGACACAGGGTCTTGCCTCTGTGGAGCCAAAAATTTAACCTATAGCAGCACCCGGGTGTGAGCAGGGGACCAGGTGGCAGGGACCACTCTGGAGCATGTGTCGGAACCATGAAGCAGGAGGTTGTCTTCTCCCCAGGGTGACTCTGGCGGCCCTCTGGTGTACCAGAACGGGAACGTCTGGACCTTGATCGGGATCGTCTCCTTCGGAAACAGCAACTGTAACGTCCGCACGCCGGCCATCTACACCCGTGTCAGCCTGTTCAGAAACTGGATCGACTACATTGTTGCTCAGGGTTAGAGACAGTGCCAGAGGGATCCCTTTGCTGGGCGCTGCTCCCGGCACGGGGAGCTCAGCAGAGCCAGCAAGGGGCCGAGCTGGAAGCAAGGCACCTCACCTCCTAATAAAGCATCAACATTTGTTTGTGCCAAGCACTGCCTCTGGCTCCCCTCCTCTCGCGCAGCAGGCCGGGGTGGAAGGTGTGTGGGGCCCAAGCCCGTGGTTGGGTGCTCCTCTCCTGAGCCCCAGCACTTCCCAGAGCTGGAGCTTGGTGCCCAGCTGGGAAGGTGCTGGGGAGGTGCTGGGCAGGACACGATGCACAGGCAGCGGGGGAGCAGGGCTGGCTGCGGATCAAGGGCTGCTCGGGGGGGTCAAGCACACGGATTACAGCCTGGCACCAACCCAGAGACCTCCATAGCCTTGAGGGTGGGTGATGTTTAGTCTGGAGAAGAGGAGGCTGACAGGAGACCTCCTGGCCCTCTACAGCTCCCTGACAGGAGGGTGCAGAGAGGGGGGATGAGTCTCTTGAACCAAGGAACCAGCGCCAGGACAAGAGGGAATGGCCTCAAGCTGCCCAGGGCAGGGTCAGACTGGCTCTGAGGAAGGATTTCTGTGCAGAAGGGGCTGTTGGGCGTTGGAATGGGCTGCCCAGGGCAGGGGGGAGTCCCCATCCCTGGAGGGGTTGAAGAGTCGGGTTGACCCAGTGCTGAGCGATCTGGTGGAGTTGAGGTTCATGGTTGGACTGGAGGAGTTTCAAGGTCATTTCCAGCCGAGATGATTCTGTGATGTTACCTGGAATGGCCTCGCCACCAACCCAGCTCCTCCAGGAAAGGGACTGTGGAGCTCCCTGGGCTCAGCACAGGCAAGTGCTTCTTGGCTTGCGATGGAGGGTGAGTGCTGATGGCTGCACGGGATCTAAAAAGATCCCTGCCTACAACTGTAACTTGTGTAACAGCCTGCAAACACACATGAAAGGGAGAAATGCCAAAGGCAGCTCCAGCTCTTTGGGAAGGTGGAAAGGGGCAGCTGGAGAAAAGCACGCTGCTTCACATGTGCAGATCTGCCAGGTAACAGAGTGGGTAACTCAAGGCCAACCCAAAGGAAAATCTGAAGCTGAAAACAAAATTCAAGGCCAGGTGACAGGTTTTCAGAAGAAAGTGGTGTTTTCACTCAAACAGGTTCCTGAGACAGTGGCAGGTGCAAAATACATGTCTTGTGTTCACACATGCTCAGTGAATTAAAACCTGGTTTCTGGCAGCTCCAAATAAAGCTGGTCACAAGGACAGTGTGGAGAGAAGCAGGATCCGACTGTCCCAACTGAGGCATGGGTTTGTTTTTTTTCTTTACCAGTGACATGAATGTGATACAAAACCTTTGCTGTGTGAGCCACAGCACCCCCCCACCCCCCAC